TTCTCTCCGTCCGTCGTGCTGCCTACTCTGATGTGAGGTGGATGATGCTCCTTGTGGGCTTAGCCGCGAATGAACACTTTGTCTGGAAGGTTGCTCATGTTGACTATCGGAGTGTGACCCCAACCGTGAATGTATGCTCATCCGTTGGCTTAGTCGAGAGTACACGCTCATCCGCGCGCTAAAACGGGAGTATACGCTATCTCGGGGGCCCAATCGGGAATGTACACTGCCTGAACGTTCAACTCGTGGCTGGTCGAATGGCTGCTTGCTGGGATGCTGCTGGAAAGGTTCGTCTGCCCTTGTCCTACTTCGGGATACCTCGTCCGGGGCATGTTGGATCCCGATGCGTTGCAAAAGTTGATTCACCAAAGTTGTCTGTTGTGCAAGGGCGCTCGTCAACTCTATGACTTGTCGAGACAAGTGTTGTTCGCCATTTGGATTGGAAGAGCTTGGAATGAATGCGCCTCCTTGAGCAGTGGAATGGTGGTAGACTCCGGGCGCGAGATTTGAGTTGGGAAATGTCAAATCCGTGAAAAAATGTGGTGAGAATGCCCCCGGCTCGATGGTAGGTCCAGATGGTTGAGATAGTTTTGGGCCGACTTGGGCTGCTTGGAAAGCCACGGGAGCAGTGTGGGCCTTGAGAGTGGGCTGCTCGTTGGGAGCAGGCTGGGTCACGAGAGCAGGCTGCTTGGCAGGAGCAGGTTGCTTGGCGGGAGCAGGCTAGGCCACGGAAGCAGGCTGCTTGGCAGGAGCAGGTTGCTTGGCGGGAGCAGGCTGGGCCACGGAAGTAGGCTGCTTGGCAGGAGTAGGCTGGGCCACGGGAGTGGGCTGCTTGGCAGGAGCAGGCTGGGCCACGGGAGTGGGTTGCTCGACGGGAGCAGGCTGGATCACGGGAGTAGGCTGCTCAATACGCGGTGCATGTGAATGCGAGGCTTGGGCTTGGGTCCACGTGAACTTGGATGGCACGGCTTGGATCGTGGTCTTGGTACCGTGAGCCTTGGATGGCACGGCTCGGGCCGTGGTGAAGGCTCCATGGACCTCGCCACGAGTGGCTACCGAAGTAGCCATCGTGGTGGTTCCCATGGTGGCCGTGTGGTGAAGGCATCATGGACCTCGCCGTGGGTGGCTACCGAGGTAGCCACCACGGTGGGTTCCCATGGTGGAAGCTCGTGGTGATGATGCCGCTCCCCTTATTGTCGCATTTTGCCTTACGGATCTCCGGGTCGTGGTGAAGGCTCCATGGACCTCGCCACGAGTGGCTACCGAAGTAGCCACCGCGGTGGTTCCCATGGTGGCCGTGGTGAAGGCACCATGGACCTCGCCGCGGGTAGCTACCGAAGTAGCCACCACGGTGGTTCCCATGGTTGAAGCTCGTGATGATGATGCCGCTCCCCTTATTGTCGCATTTAGCCTCACGGATCTCCGCAATCCCATTTCTTGAACATTAGAATTTTCACTTGTGGAATTTTCTAAATTTCTAGCCATTATATTTTGCTTATACGTTTTATCAAAGAACCTTTGCAAGTAAAAAATTCTAATAATAAGAACGTATGAAAAATATTCAAATGGACTAGAAAATAAAGAAAAAACCTTTTTTGTGCGAGAGTCTTCTACGAGTATGGATTTCAACTCTCAATGAAAGCACCAATTTGTGGATGCAAATTTCTTCCTCCTTGATCTTGGACGATTTTGCACCTACAAAACAATTAACACCTTAGGTTAAGGCCAAGAGCCTCACGCGCCCACGATGAATGGAGGGGGCTTTGGCCGAAGAACCTCCGATGCCAAAGTTAGAATTTAGAGAGAAAGAGTGTTTAGAGAATTTTGGGATTTTTACCAAAGTGTTGGAATTAGCTTTTTGGTGAGAATGGGAGTATATTTATAGGGATAGGAGGTGGCTAGGGTTTTTAGGTTTAATTAGCCAATTTATTTGGCTATTAAACATAAAATGAATGTTTTGGTGGTTTTTTGTATAATTGGCTAATAAAAAGGAAGAAAATGGTGGGAAAAGGTAGAAAAAAGGTAATGGATTAGGTTTTTCAATGGGATAGCCGGCCCTCTTGTGTTTTTAGGTTTGAGTGGATGTTTCAAATTGACAATTAAGGGATTGATTAGGTAATTAATCCCTTAATTAGTCAATTTATTATGATTTTATGAAATATGAAAGGAATAAGTATATTATTTAGCTAATTGATTAGCTAAATAATGAAATGGGAAATATATGAATAAATTAGGTTTTAAGTTGATACCTATTTTGGGCACTTTTGACTTGGTTGAAAAAATGATTCTCTACTGCTCGCGTGTAGGAAACCCGGTATGCCTCGAGGGTATTTTTGTCCTCTTTTGTCCAAAAGTCCACGTGTCGCCTAGTGAATATTTTTGGCTCCACACTTGGTATTTTAGTTCCGTTGAGTGGTCCAGAACCCAAGACTGTTGGATTTTGTTGAGTAGTTCGGATTCCTTGCTCTTGCTCATTGCCATAAGGTTAGTCTAGAACATTAGATTTGAATGCATGAGAATTACCCACAATAGACCTTATGAATATAAATTAGAATTATCAAGTTATTACTTAGAATCCAGGCAGGGAATTATGTAGAATTCTTTCATTTAATTTCGTGCACCGATATGTGATCTGGTTGACTAATTAACGTAATTAAATGTTAATATCGTGTCTCCTTGACTCATGGAATGGATTACTTGAGGTGAATGTGAAGTGATGTTGAATATGATTGTTATTAATACGATTAGATCAATGATCAATACGACTAGAGGATACTATTGTGCTTTGTTGATTCTTTGATATATCACATGATATGAATTGCGATTTTATGTTGAAAGATAATGATTTATATGATGGATGAAATAGAAACCTTGATTGTCATGTGGGTTGTTATGTAGCTTGAAGCGAATAATTTCATGCTTGTCAAGTCCAAAAGTTTGATTGAGGAATGTTATGCCTTTTGGCTTGAACTGACTGTGTTATATGTCGAGTTGTAGCGAAGATGAACTACGAATGGCTTGATTCCTGTGTAGGGTACATAGGCAGTCTAACGAGAATGTTAGATGCATCCATAAAGTGTACAAAATTTACTACGCAATTCGAGGCATGGCATGTGCTTGGTTCATATCTCATAGACGGGTATGTTAGATATATGGTTATTTGATAACGTCACGTGTCAATCCTAGATGTACGTCGGGATCGGGGCATGACAATCGATGCAAATCAAGCACTCCAAGTCAGGTAATTTGTAGTTGTAAGCTTGATTGGAACCATAGATCCAATATTTTGGATGGTGATGGAAGAGGAAATCGCAGAATTAGGGTTAGGGATTTCTGTAGGAAGCGGATGAGCAGGAGGATCTGATCCTGAGGAAGGAGATGCAGAGTCCGCCATAGCTGAAGGTTGAAGAAGAATTCACGATCAAGATAAAGAAATCGATCGATTGATCGGAGAAGAAGAGGAAAGTCAAGCGGTGCAGAAAGAAGCGGGAAAGGAGGATCGAAGAGGGAGAGTTGTCATAGGACTATTGGCGGTTGATACCATATTAGGAAAAATATTTTCCATTGCATAACTGAATAATGTTTACACTTGGGTATTTATACACAAACTGTTACAGCTAACAGAAAAGGAAAAACAACCAAAACAAACTATGATTCCTTATCCTCTAAGGATTCTCTCTTGTAGGTGTCATTACATTTTTATCCTTGATACTATGGTGATGTGCCTGAATGCGGAGTTGACAATACGCATTAGTGTTAAGTTCTATACAAAAGTACCTGGAAAAACCCTAGTTGATAGACTTAAAAGCTAGTCCAGGAAACACTTCCAAGTGCTTTTCCGGTTGAAAATCAATGTACAACAACAATGTAACCTTCTGGTAGAGTTCACTATACTGAGCAAACCCCAATACTTACTTTAAGTAACGAAATTTAGACCATTTTCGATACATTCGAACCCTGAAAGTAACAAAATTATGTAAACAACTATCTCTATCACAACCTTACTAATAGACCAATCTTCTGCACATTCTGAAACCCACGACAATACTATTCCTAGACAACACACAAACAAAAAGACAGTAACTTTCCCATGTATTCTCGGCAACCAAAGATTCATAAGGGTATAATTTCTTTAAAGTAAATGTTTGAAGATATTAAATCTTTTAATAACACCATTTGTCAGTTGTGTCAAAGACTAAAAGAACATTTTATGCATTTTAAGTAGCCAAGTATTGTTCGAATTTATATAGAACATTGTCAGGAGAGGGAGTAGATTTGATCAAAACTAAAAGGCCTAGGCTATCAAGCAAGCTCTGATGTTGCCTAGTTTGTAGTAGTCAAAATTTTGGAGCGTAATCTTCAGAAACGATGGCGCTTCTCTTGAATGTTGTCGAATCTTTCTTGGAACAGTAACTCTTTGCTTTCTTCATGATCAAGCTTTCCTTTTTTCGGACAGAAACATTGTCGCTGCCAACCCCAAGGGTGTTGCTGCTGCTGCTACTTTTGTTGGTTCTTGACAATGACGGAACCTCTGCCCCTGTGCCAACAAAAACTTGCCGGCATTGTTTCCGAGAAGCTTCCATTTGATGCCGACTCTTCAACCTCGAAGCACCGAACTCCTTCACGTAGAAATTCCGCCACAACATATCAGTAACTGGACTCAAATCTCTGCCTATGGTACTCTTCTCTACGCACCTCAACTGCCCGACCGTACATTTACTCTGGGAGGATTTTCTCAAGAACATTGGAATCTACTTTGCTAACGTCCCCACCAACCGAAGATGGAGGAGCTGTTGCTGCTGCTTTTGCTTCCACAGTACTAGCCATGTTAGGAATTATTTGCTATTAGTCCTTTTAACTTTCGGTGTGGTGAAAATCAAGAGAAATTCCCTCGTTATACAAAGAATTTGACGTAGACTGGGAGGACTTACGTGGAACTGGTTAGCCACCACGTAGCGTTCCAGTCCAACAATGCACTGATATTCTAACAGCTAACCCGATTTAAGTGTGAACTTTAAGGTAAATTTATCGTACAATCATTAATAGTATTTTCTTCACAGAAAAGGGAATATTCAAGGGAGTTGAAACAACCATTCAGGTTACATGTCCTCGCAACTAGTACAACTGTACAAGACATACCTAGATCCCTGATAAGTTTCATATCCCTGCAGTTTTATTTATGAAATAAATCCCTTGCAATCCCTGATAAGTTTCATATCCCTGCAGTTTTATTTATGAAATAAATCCCTTGCTCTTTAGGCTCTCCACACCGTCCTTGATAATTTGATCCATGGGAATGAATTCTAAACCCAAGTTCATTAGCTTCTTCGCTGCGTTCTTTTCCCTCAGCAAGCCCAGTTGGGTGTCCTTTGGCAAACTACACAAAGGCAAACATATTAGCTCGATCATTTTCAAAATCAGGCACTCACACCACCTAAAAATTTACAAAATTCTTCCAAGGCAAGCGAGAATGCACCTAACGGTTGATAAACTTGGAAAGCAACATTTGGGAGTGATTCTAAACAGACCAAAGAAAAATGATGTATGCAAATCTATACCCGCATGAAAACTATTTTATAGGAAAAATCAGATTTCAATTCGCTAATTTGGTCTCAAATATCTAAAACACGTGATGGAAGGAAAAAAAGAGAGAAAAAACCATGGTCCTCCAGCTGTAGAAGAGTTCAGTGCATCTAAGAAACCTCGGTTTAAAAAATCAAGACATAGTATATTTTTAAGTTGTGCTTCTGACAAGGGACGAAACATTCACTTATCAGGAAACCAAACATCTAAAACATAAGATATGCACAAAATTTCATTTGCAAATGCATTTTGTGGACCAAAACTTACCTGTGAACCTTGTACTCAGGGTAAAGTTCAGCAACCTTTGCCACAAAGTCACCATAACGTGATATAGCTTCCAAACACAAGTGCCTACCGGTCGCTGATTTGTTCTCATACACTAAAATGTGTGCGAGAGCAACATCTTTAAAATGCACAGATCCCATAAAGAAGTCCTCATATGTTTCAGTGCAGCCTGCAGCAAAGAGCGAACAACTCAAAACTATATATACGTTGTTTCTACTTTCTAGGGCCTCATCCTCTTTCTCAGTCCTCTCCAAAAAAAACTTTATCAAAAATCCTTGCAACTTAAAGAAACATGTGCTAAAAAAAGAGGTGTAGAAGAGTTCCTTTATGATTACACATATGCATGCTCACACAATCTACCTTCTCAAGCTTACGGACAAACTGGCAAAACAATTAGCAATCTCGACTGTTATGAAAGAAGAAATCTTCCAAGTGTTGAGGTACCAAACTCAATCTTTCTTTAGCAAAAATGTCTTAAGAGAAAAAAAAAAAAAACCTCATTTTTACCTCATTTTTAGTTCATCAACCAACCACAGCATCATACATAATAAATGGGAAATGTTCTCTTGCCATTGAGATGATATGTCATCATACAAACTGTCAATCAAAGATCAAATTTCGTCTAAATTTATGATTTGAGTGCGAATTTCGCAACATTACATGGCATACTATCAGGCAAGAGAACATTAAGTGCTAGTGGAAGATTCAAGCAACTTAAGAGGGCAGTCCAAGAGGATAAACAAGGTCAACAATCTACTTCAAGGTGCAGTCATAGAGGATTTTCTAACACAAAATTTGCAGAGAAAAGTACCCTCAAGAATGCGAAGGAGCATCAACATGCTAGCATTGAGCCTGGGCGAGATAACAGGGCCCATCACCGTGCCCGGATTCACCACAACCACATCCAGCCCCTTCTCCTTGGCAAATTCCCACGCAGCTTTCTCCGCCAGCGTTTTCGATAATGGATACCACAACTAGCCATACACCAAACACAATCAGCATTACAGTCCCCAATTGTGAAAACTTCGAGTAGTTAAAAATGAAGAATTAATAATCAAAAGATGAAAGATACAGTACAAGCAGGGGAAACGTGCACCGAAAGTTACAAACTTTCAATAAGAAAATTGAATGCGGACATTAAACAGACAATAAACCGTATATTAGGCATTCGAGTAACTCACTCCCTTCTGCTTGCAGTAATCAATGTCTGTCCAGCAATCCTCGCCCTTGACCTTATCGGACGGCCAGCTTGGGCTGGGAGTGATGGCGGAGATGGATGACGTCAGCACCACACGGCTGACCCCAGCCTGCTTCGCGGCCGTCAGAACATTGAGCGTTCCTTTGATCGCCGGGTCCAGAAGCTCCTTCTGCAGATTAAACCAAAAAAAAGCACCAAAGTTTCATAATTAAGCATAATTAATCAAATATAATCAAAATTAAAAGGAATTTGATATTGCTTAATGATGCGAACCTCGGGGTCGTGGACTTGGTCGACGATGCAGGGAGAGGCGAGGTGGAAGACGCCGGAGCAACCATTGACGGCGGCGAGTATGGAGTTGTAGTCGAGGAGGTCGATCTGGAAGAGACGGAGGCGCGACTCTGCCCCCTCTACTAACGCTTCTAGATGCTTCGTCTCGCCATCGTCCTCTGCAACAAACAAAACAACGGCGTTATTAATTTTGGATTGAACGCGAATGGAATGAATGGAACTGTGGCAGTTGTGTAGATAAGGGGAAAAGCAAGGGTGAAGTTACTGAGATCCTTGACGGTGGCGTGGACGGTGTAATCACCGTGGAGGAGGAGACGGACGAGCCAGGATCCGATGCCGCCGCTTCCACCGGTAACGCATACGACCTCACCCTGCTTCGACATCCTCCCTCCTGTGGCCCTTAGCTTTCGGCTGTCGTGTGTCCCTCATTTACTTTAGCTGATTGTTGATGGTGATCAAGTTGGATTGGGCCAGCTGGATAATTTTCGTTTAGGCAGGCCCAAAATCTAATTGGAATTTTCAAATAAAAAGATATAGAGATCGAAATTGAGTATATAAATAAAACACACACTACACACTGTATCTTGAGTTAAAACGATTGCTTTCTCTATGTATCCCAAATTAGTAATATCGTTTATTTTTAGGAAATTGTTATTAACAATTTAAAAATTTTGTTTTACATTTCTCACAGTGTAATTTTCTTACTAATTATAAACAGTTTAAAATGCAAAATGCGATTTTTGAAGTGCCAATAACAATTCCTTATTTTTATTATAAACAAGAAACAATGTCACGGTCACCTAAAATATTTGTAAAATTCCGCAAGCAAGAATGCACCAAAGGTTGATAAACCTGGAAATCGACATTTGGAAGTGATTCTAAGCAGACCAAAGGAAGATGATGTATGCAAATTAGTAATATCGTCTATTTTTAGGAAACTATTATTAATACTTCAAAAAATTTACTCTACATTTCTCACAATATAATTTTCTTACTAATTATAGAAAATTTTGAATGTCAATAACAATTTCTTATTTTTTTTATAAACAAGAAACAATGTCACCTAAAAAATTTGTAAAATTCGGAAGGCAAGCGAGAATGCACCAAAAGGTTGATAAACCTGGAAATCGACATTTGGAAGTGATTCTAAGCAGACCAAGGGAAGATGATGTATGCAAATCTATACCCGCATGAAAATTCTATTATAGGAAAAATCAGATTTCAATTCGCTAATTTGCAGAGAAAAGTACCCTCAAGAAGGCGAACGAGCATCAACATGCTAGCATTGAGACTCCGCGACATAACAGCGCCTATCACTGTGCCTGGATTCACCACACGACATCCAGCCCTTCTCCTTGGCAAATTCCCACGCAGCTTCCTCGCCCTTGACCTTATCGGACGGCCAGCTTGGGCTGGGAGTGATGGCGGAGATGGCAAACGAGCATCGTTCAACGATATATGCCAGTGCAGATGTATATTTAGGCCACCCGGAGTCTTAAAAATATACATGCAAAGGTTTTACGAGGAACATCTGAATGTTTGGTGTTTGTCCTTTTTGTGCTTGTCAAATGTTTGATGTGGTGCCTAATAGGCATATCTCGACAAGTTACATCGACATCACTTGATAAATTCTCTTTATATCAGTCATCAGATAAGCTGGAAACTTTTTTGCCCCAGTGCACCATATCTGTTGAAGGTTTGATGTTTGAAAAAGGTACTGCAATTTGGAAAGCAAATAGTTAAATTGCATTTGTATATATATATACATATACATATACATATACATATATATATATATATATATATCCAAATGAAGTAAAAAATCAAAGCAGTGCAACTCACCATATATGTTCTAAATCTCGATGTTTGAGATGTGAGAAATCTTGAGCCACTCTTTTCTGCTACCTTTTACGCAATGTTGGGCAAGTTTAGAACACCCCAAAATGGTAAGATTCTGCAGTGGTATTTCGCATAGGAAATCTGGCAGTGTTCCTAACCCATAGCACGCATTTATGTGTAAGAAAGAAAGGCATGGCATGATTGTAATTCCAAAATCTACTTTTGTTGATGCATAAAACCGGAGGTCTTGGAACAACGTAAATCCGACCGTGAATCTGCATGAAATGTAAATAACACAAGATGTATCGTGGTTCACCCCAAGGTTTAGGCTACGTCCACACTGATTGTATTTCTCTGAGAGTATTTGCGAGGGAGAGAGTGTGAGAGCTTTGCTCTAGATAGGAGAGGCTTAGGGTTTGTGAGGGTGAGGAGGCCCTTTTGTAGAATAAGGGCTCCTTCCCTAATTACATATTTGCCCATTCCTTTATTACATAATTACATTTAAGTCCCTCGAGTATTTATACGAGGTCTAAATACGATGCCCTAAATATGGTATAAACAGTAGTCCCCCAAGTCTTCAGTTAAGAGAGTCTTTTGGCTGGAGACTTAAAATTCAGTCCATGTGTGGGCCGAAGTAACTAGATGATGTCTTAAACTGATGCTCAATATGAGGCAGTGCTCAATCTAAAATGACGCTCAACTAGAAGTAGCACACGCTGCGAGGCTGCTCGGCTTGTGGCTTATGTTTCCTTGGTTGGCTCGGCTTACGGCGTTTGAAGGTGAGGGAGTCCATTTTATAGAATAAGGGCTTGCTCCTCAATACATGAATGATGGGCTAGAGTTGATGCTCTCTAATGATGGTGAGGGAGTCCCTTTTATATATTAAGGGCTCGTTCCTCAATACATAAATGATGTGCTAGAGTTGATACTCGCGGCGAGGCGGTTGCTTAGTAGGCGGCGATCCTCTCTAATGGTGGTGAGGGACTCCCTCACCATTTTATAGAATAAGGGCTCGCTCTTAAATACATAAGTGATGGGTTAGGAGTAATGCTCGCAGCGAGACGGTTGCTCAGCTGGCGGCGTTGCTTTCTAATGATGGTGAGGGAGTCCCTTTTATAAAATAAGAGCTCGCTCCTTAGTACATGAATAATAGGTGCTCTCTAATGAAAGTGAGAGAGTCCCTTTTATAGAATAAGGGCTCGCTCTTCAATACATAAGTAATGGGCTAAGTCCCCCAAGTATTTTTCATGAGGCCCAGTTGAGGCCCAATATATGGTACATAATGTAGTCCTTCAAGTCTTCGGTTAATAGAGTCTGTTGGCTGGAGACTTCAAATTGAATCCATGTACGGGCCGAAGTGACGGTTGTTTGGAGGCGGTATTTGTATACCCTGCACTGAAGCTTTGTAAGTGAAGCTTTGAAGTTGTAAATGAAGCTTTTGAAGTTGTAGCTCTGTAAAAAAAAGCTTTTGAAGCTAGTGATTTTGTAAATGAAGCTTTTGAAACTGATTGACACGAGTGATGCTCATGAACGTTTGATTGACATGAGTGATGCTCATGAATGTTTGATTAACATGAGTGATGCTTATGGATGTTAACATGAGTGATGCTCATGAATGTTGACATGAGTGATGCTCATGAATGTTTATGTATGATTGATATGAGTAATGCTCATGTATAATATGAAGTACTGGGCGTACTTTTGATCACCTGGTTGGTGGCATGAATGGCTAGTTGCCAAATTAGAGTACGGGTTGTACATCTCATCACCTGGTCGGTGGTAATAGCGGTAGGTTGCCGAATAATTGTGGAGTACTGGGCGTACTTTTGGTCACCTGGTTGGTGATAATAAAGGGTATGGCTCTTTTGAGCATATCTCCGAAAGATAAAAATAAATTACATCATAAAAACAATAAAAGCAAATCACATCATTCTTTGTTTTTGCTTTCTGCTTTGCTTTTGTTTTGTTTCCTCTTTTCCGTTTCCTGCATGTTCTTCTGTAAAACGTAACATGACAGCCTTGATACCACCCACTTGCTTTCTTGGACAGCCTGGTCGTGCCCATCACTCCTCTTTTCTTTTTTTTTATTTTTTTTTTTTTTTTTTGCTTTTCTGTTCCCACTGCTTTTCTTGGTATCTTTCCATTGTGCCTCTGATTTCTTTGAGTATGGGTTTGTATCATGAAAGTTCCATCATTTTCTGGTGGCTAGGGAAGTAATGATGATAAAGTAAAATAATAAAGAAAAGAGGGATCTTATCTCAACGGCAAGTCCATCATTTTGTCAACAGCAAAGGTCTTGAGCTGCTTGATGCGAAAATTATCTTAACACACAAATTTAACCCTCTTTTGATAATAAAGAAAAGAGGGATCTTATCTCAACGGCAAGTCTATCATTTTGTCAACAGCAAAGGTCTTGAGCTGCTTGATGCGAAAATTATCTTAACACACAAATTTAACCCTCTTTTGACAATTGTAGTACAAGTATAAGTATGGATCGTTCTGGACCGGATATTAGGAGGGCTTGCTAATAACCTCTAAACTGACTCAAAAACATAAAACTAAACTTAAAAATACTTAACAAGACTCACAAGACTCAAAGCAAACTTAAAATACTCAAAACAACTTAAAACAACTAAATAAACTTAAACTAGACACTAGAAATGACTTTGGACGAAAATTGACTTTTACTTGAATCAAAACATTTAAAAACACAAATTAAAACATATTACAACTAATTAGACACACTAAAGTAAATGGGGATTGAGTTTTGGACGAAGTTGAAACAAACAAACAATTATGAAAAACTAGACAGATTGTAAAACAAATTTGAGAAATAAGATGATGGATGAGATAGATAGAGGCTTTTTTTCTACACATGACATGTATGCAAATAACTCGATTTCCAGTTACTACTTCATTGAATTATGAATGACAATGCTCCAAATTAACCGTGACATCACTAATTAACTCTAAGATTTTCCTTGTTTTATTTGATTGGATGACATCATTTGGCAACCCAAAACATTATTCTAAAGTTCCCTACATGACATCATAATAGAGATACAATCAAATATCATTACGTTTAATGAAAATCATAAGCATTGACAAAACACTTGCAACTATGGCATCATGTCACTCATGCTAGGAATTGAACTTAACACGATTGTTTATAAGCGACCTTCACTACATGTGAATATAAGTTTGTAGCGATTATGTGAAACTTCTTTATATTCTAGCAACGGATTAATGCATGCCAATTAAGTGTCGACCCTTAATCAACAAATACAAATAAGTTATCAATCAAATAGTTAAGCCAATTGCATTTACGATTCAAGAGTTCATAACTGGAATTTATCAAATCATATTACACACATAATCATGGCTTTGAAATCACCCCTAGCCAAGAGGGGTTTAACCACTCATCTTCACAACAAAACAAAATAAAATGAATTTAAACATTGGAAACAAAAGAAAGAAAACACATAAACACTCCAACGATCCAAGTTGGACAACAAGCACATCCAAGCACTTTCCTTCCATTCTTTTGCTACGGCACAAGGTGTTGGCAAGTGTTTGAAGGTTTGTTTCTATGGAGGAAT